CAACTCATCCTAATAACCTTAAGATAAGAGACTTGGATATTTTCTTAATCCTCAATCACAAAAAATACTACAGGAACACATGGAATGTTAAAAACATCAAGAATACAGTTCAACTTTAACAAATTATAAAAAAATTATACCAAAACAGCAAAAGATCTTATCTGAAAAAAAACAAGGAAACAATGACAAATAGGAACTGTGATGCAGCCAAACATGAAAATCCCCTGGCCCAGCCAGGGAACATGTCATACTTAGCATACCACACTGTAACAAGTAAAACTAAGCATGTCATGCACTATCAGTAACAATATAATTATTCTATCCAATGTGAACGTATTACAACAATGTGAAAGCTTAATAGGACCTAATTGTATGGAACAATCATTCATCAAGAGATAAACTGAGTCAGTGAGAGAAGAGGGAGACAGTTCACAAGACAACATGACTATTGATTGGCTGCTTCACAGGCATCGATCCAATCACTGTAAACATCCACAGGTTCGGACAGATCTGTTAAATAAGGTCAAGGTACATTCAAATGAAGGATAAGAGAAGGCGCACACACAATTCTAAACTCTATGACTAAGAAATCCATTTGATTATTTTTACACTTAGTGAAAGTGTACAGTACGTACACTTCACATGGATAAATGAGCCTTTGAATGTGTATTCCTCCTTTTAAGCTGATGCTAGAGCAGTAGTTGAGGGGGTTAAAAAATGCATTATCATATTGGTGGATTCTATATAACAGACCACTGCTTCTTTGGCTCTTTATATGAATTACATCACAAAACTTTGCGATACGTGTAAACTTTAAACACAATAAACAGAAGAAAAAAAACTAACACTCTTTGTCCAACATGATGATACAATGTTTTTTTTGTTTTGTTTAAAAGGATACAAGTTATTGGAGTTTGAAACTCCTCCAAGCAGACACTGCATGATATAATCCCTGTGTTTCTGGTTCTTTCCCTGAAAACAGTACAGTAGTTGTTACACTGCTCATGAGTCACTTCTTTCCGTTTGTGATGCACTTTGAGTCACTTACATTTTGACGTCACATGATTTCTCATGATTACAGAATGGGCAAGTGAATTGGACGTCCAGGTTGCCCGTCATTTTTTTCTTCGGAGGCGGCTTCCTCTTTGACTTTCTGCGCCCCATTAGTAATGTTGTACACCTGCTGGAAAGAAAAACAAAGTTCAATAATTACCACTATCATTGTGCTCTCTTTAATACAGCCAAAATGTGGCTGCTGAATGAATGTTAAGCATTAGTTAGAATATTTACAGACTGTGGTATTTCACTAAACTACAGCCATGATAATAAGTCCCTGAGTGGTTTACATATCCTTACATTACTTGAAAACATTTACTATTTGGGAAATATAAAAGGGAATAACCATATAATGTGAGAAACGACTGTGACTTCTAGAAGCAAACACAGTTTTTGGATAATGTAACATCTCTTCCTCTTGGATAGTAGTCCATTTTGCCTCCAGAAGTACAATGACAGACTTATGGATGCAGCTGAAAACTATCGCCAAACCGAATCACAGTCAGTATTCTTATAAGGCTTAAGCTAGTCGACAGGAAGCTAACCCGTTATCACTTCTTGCATGATGCATAAATGGCGTAGTTGATAAAATTGCTTTTAATAAATTACGGTTTTTAATGAAACTGAAGTGCACGTTACATCACTAAAAGCATGCATTTTATAGCATTTGCATTACGAGGTGACATTTATCTAGCTTACCAAATTGATGTAAAGCAATGGGGGGATGCTTTGCATTCAACTTTATCCGGATGCAGCGTCTGTCTGTGGCCGCTTCTGATTCGTTGGTTGAGTTTTTTCCCGGTTTGCGATTGGCTCGTTCCTGGAGATTTGTCTCCAATAGCCTGTCTCGTCTTTTAAGGAAACGCCCATATAAAGAAGATGCTTCATAATAAACACAAGACGGTAGGCTAGGTACTAGTTACTTTGCGAGATTGTTCTAAGTCGATTATCAATAAAAATGTCATAAAATAACTAAATAACAATCCATCAATTGACTTTAAAGTTTTCTCTTGACACAATGACCCAAATCTCTATTTTGTTCTTACTTTGACAAAAAAAAAATTGTCTTCCAATGTTGCATGCAAATGTTCTTACAAGCATTTTACATGGTGCTATGGTTATGAAACATGAGGTGAAGCATTGAAGATTGAATTACCATAGCTACTAGTTCATGACCACTTTGCATTCCCAAGGAACTAAGAAGACAATTTAAATGATGTAATCTCCTATCAAAAGCCATGTCCATTAGTCCCAGAAACATAAATGAACAATTATTTTCAGGTTACTCTGTTAACAAAGCATAACATCATAAATATCCAGACAAAATTAAATATACACTAAAAATGTAGGGCTTTTCAAATGTGTACATAAAGATGAATACCCTGAAACCTCAAAGAATATCTTCCCTTTATAAAATGATGAGACTGTAAATAGCATGAGGTTTGAGTTTCCCTCATATATGGGCCATTCTACCAAATTGGTTCAAAGTCAGGTTGGAAATATTTTGGATTTTTTAAATTTTTATTCACAAATTTATTTCCCTATATCTATTGCACCATATCTTAAGTACACACATATAGTAAAAGAACAGTAAAATTTGATATTGTATTTTTAGACTGTTTTGGAATCCTCTCCCCAAATTTGTCACTACCGAAACATAGTATTAAACTATGATGAAAACAATATTATGTTAACCTGTTAATATTATGTTTACTTCCTTATGTAAAGATTATTTTTACAATTTTTTATTGAAGGTTTCCACAATGAAATCAATAAAAATGAATTTTTAACAAATTTCAAATTTCAATTTATACAATTCTTCAAAATCTATGTCCAATTTTTCTTTCTAAAATGTAAAACGCTGATCAGATTGATTTCAGAGTTAATGATTTATGAGATGGAGCATACAGTTAACCAATCAGTATCATAACATTTTAGTTGATAATTCAATATGTATATATATATATATATTAAAAACACTGAGTGTTTCGGAAGTGACCACAATTTTCTTTGCAAGGTTGTATCATATTCCCTCAACCTTATTGCTTAATATTAACTCATAACATGCCTGATGTTGGGAATATTACACACAAATGTTTAGTGGTCAATAAAATAATTTATCTTTTAAGAAAAATATTCATCCATGACCATTTATAGTACAAATATTACTTATCAATTGCTTATTTGCTGTAAACAGATGATTGAAATGATGATACTTAAAGAAACTCACTGCTTTTAAGACTTTTGGACACATTTATTTCAAAATTATGAGATTTAACTACTAACCATTCCATTTTGTCACTACCGAAATGATAATGTCACTACTGAACTTGACCATATGATTCGGTAGTGACTGTTTCAGTAGTGACAATTCTACCTAATTTTGAGCATAACTAAAAAATGTTGCTTGAATCTAGGCCCAACCAAGCCACTAAAACTTTTGTGTTTCAGTAGTGACATGAAAACAAGGACCTGCTTTTTTGCATAGTTTTTTAATTTAAAAATTAAACCCACAATAAATCTAAGTCTTTCAACCTTTGTTTGAACTTAATCATAAAGATCTTTTAAATTACACTGTTGAAACAAATCTAAAAAATGTTTTAAGTGGTATTTACATAAATTGAAATTTAGGGGTCAGGATTGGGGACAGCTACTTCTCAATAGAAAGTACCCTATAAATGATGATTTTGTATTTATTTAGCTTATCACTATCTCATTTAATGCGCTGGGTTTAAATAGATCATAATATAATCTCAGTAAATATCCATTTCTGAATACTTAATTGTTTGGTTAAACCTTTTTTTTTGTAATGGGACTGCACTTTGAACTAATTTGGTAGAATGCCCCATATAAGTAAAATGGTTAGATCAGAACAGTAACAGTTGAAATTATTTGAATATAAATTCAGTAACAAGATATTTACAGATGTAGGCCGGAATTATTGGCGGGCATTGTGCTTAAATATTACAATCGTTGTTATGAAGTCTTATCTAAGTGAACTACTACATGTTCATGCTCCATCCAGAGCACTAAGCTCCTCCAACCAGCTGCTCCTGTACATGCCCAAAACAAGGCTCAAAACTAGGGGCAATCGAGCCTTTTCTGTTGCAGCTCTGACACTTTGGAACAGATTACCATTTAAAATAAGATCTGCTGCCACAACTGAGCAGTTTAAGTCATTTTTAAAAGCCCATTTATTTTCCTTGGCTTTTACCTCTAGTTGAGTGTTTTATCACAGCAGCAGTGTCTACTAGAACTTTTAATATTGTTTTGTGTTTTAATTTACTTTAAAGTTTTGCTTTTACGTGTCTGTATGATGTTTTGGATGCATTGTATCTTGCCTGATTTACTGTACAGCACTTTGGTCCGCCACGGCTGTTATAAATGTGCTATATAAATAAAGTTGACTTGACTTGACTTGACTTATAATTACCTACTTTTACAGTACACTTTGTCATGTTCTCATGGTTGAAAATCAAGGGGCTAGGCCTATATGACGTCACTGGATATTTTCAGTGTAAAGCACTTTCGAAAACATGAGCTGATAAAGCACAAGGAATTGTTTGACTTTCAAGTTTCTAGATGTGTAAGAGCCCTTGACACATTGTGTTTAATTGATTCTATGATATTCATAGGCAGAATTAGACAACAGGCCACTAGGTCAGACTGTTGCACCAAAAAGTGTGTTATATCTAAAAGGCAGATTTTATTTCAAATGTTTTTTTATTTGTACAAATATATATAATTTCCAATATGTTCATAGAAGTCATATTGTCATCGAGTGACTCTCTACCGCTTTCTTATTTTACATAACTTTGAATTAAATGGAATTTTTTTTTGTAACAAAGTTCAAACAAATAATAGAAACTGAGCACGAAAAAAAAACACGAAAAAAAAACATTTAATGAATGAAAATCTTCCATCTCGTCAAAGGGGCGGAGCCAATAATCATTCAAATGTCAGGGGAAGTAGAAGCCTGAACCTTGGACCGGTCACAAAAAGTAGTCTACATTTATTTTTTATTTTTTTTCCAGAAACCGGGAAAAGGACCTTGAGGTAAGTGCAGGTCATTGTAACGTGTAATGTAATATGAAACAAGTAGCTTAACGCATTCAACATAAAACGTGTATGACCCTTGTATGCTCAGAGGCTAACGCTGGTTAGCCTGTCAGATACAACATGTAAACACTTTAAATAAACTGCTAAAGACAGAGCAGCTCCAGCCCTCTTGCATTACTTGTTAATAAGCGGTGGTTTTTAGGATGGATTGTAATTGTGACTCATTTATAAAAGTGCGTTTTCTCAATATTTACAGTCTTAGTTTCCTCTGGTCTGCAGTGCGATGTTTTCTCAATCTGGAGACACATCTTATCAGGTCTACTGCACATGTGAAGCAACAGCTTGAGACGTACACAAGACCACTATCTCTGTGGCCATGTTTTCTTTTTATCCTACACATCGTTTAAGGAGTGACAGCTGGAAGAACACACATCTAACATGTCATTTCATTGTTGTTGTTTTTTTTTTTTGCATATAAGCATAACCAGGTGAAATGTTTACAGAGTTGATACATGACTTCAGATTAAAGGCTCACATCATTGAGCTGTTTAAGGCGATTTATAATAATAACAGTGTATTAATCTCGACTTTAACTTTCTAATGCAAGGGAGGGGTATCTGGTCAAGACAGCAAACCATTTCAAAGGCACAACATTAAAACAGATGTGCACCACTTAACACTGGAAACTATGTTTTTGTCAGAGCTTGAACTTGTTGTGATTTTAAATTATTAGAAAGAAATGCTCGAGCAAAATCTTCTTTTTCACATTGTGAGCCAATCCTGGATACCTGGTACAGCAGCCATCTATTTATTCAGTCACTGCACTATCACTGTTTATTTATTGACTCAGTCACTTTAAAACTGTTTATCTATTCAGTCATTATAACAATGTATTAATTCATCCGGTCACTGCACTATAACCGCTGAACAAAAAAAGTGTTATTTATGCCTCGTGTATTTTAGCCACTGCCTCTCTTTCAATCTAGCACAACCTTTTATCATATATACATATGATCAATATGCTGCTGTACAGGATTGCTGCTAACAAAGTTGCATTGTGTTCCTAAATACAATGACAACAAAGTGCCTACCTATCTATTAAAGGAGTAAAAATCTGAAAAACTTTTTTTTAAATTGCTTTTACCTGTACCTTGAGGTCAAATGTTTTGAAATCAGTTATATGATTCCTATACTAAACACACATAATATAAAAAACACAATTAAGACACCACCGTTTACACCTGTCGAGCAGCAACACAAGAAGTAGAATAAAAGTAATGTTGATAATTGAGAGACACATAGGTCAAACAGCACAGAGTTGTAAGACAAGATAAATATACTAGAGCATGTAATCTATACCACAAAATCCAATATCAAACATACCCCATGCAAAGTCAACCATATGTCAATAGATAATGCAGGTGAAGTATGTTGATAATGTATGTTTTTTTGCAGGGTGACACAATGGTGATGGAGGGGGAGCCTACAGACTTGGTGAAAGTGCTACACCTTCTTGCACTCTCTTTCTCCTGGGGCATGCAGGTCTGGGTCTCTTTCATAGCAGGTATGAGGCACACAAACAGAAGAAGTGATGGCTGGAAGCCAAACAGTTCAGTTTATGTTCTGTCTTTTTATTGTGTTGCCTTTTATACTCTTTTTGTCTGCTTTTCTTGTCTTGCAGGTTTTGCATTGGTGTGGCAGGTTTCTCTGCACACCTTTGGCCTGGTACAGAGTAAGCTTTTCCCTGTGTATTTCTATTGTCTAATGGGGAGTAGTGGTGTCAGCTTAGCTCTGTATGCTGTGTACCACCCCAGAGATCTGCTGGACTGGCATGAAAGTTTACAGGTCAAACTGCACTAAATATTTTAAACGCTTATCATTATCACACAGTTTGTACATAAATAAGCACAATGTTGTCTTCCAGTGAGGAATTTCTCTTGTCTTCCAGATGGCTCTGTACTTTGTGGCACTGGTCATGGCCGGTCTAAACGCTCGCTGGTTTGGCCCAGCAGCCACTGAGGTGATGTTCCAAATGAGGGAGGTGGAGAAGGAACATGGCTTGGGGAATCAGATTGGCTTTAGCACCCAGAGAGAGGCATATGCTAAGCTCAGAGAGCAGGACCCCAAGTACAGAGCTTACAAGAGCACATTTGGCCGATACCACGGGCTGTCCAACCTCTGCAATCTGCTCGGAGTCATCTGCACCACAACCAATTTGATCTACACAGCTTTGAATTTATCCACTATTTAGAGAACAAAATGTTTCAAAAATATGAAACACATCTCTGTTGATTTCAGTATTTTGCAATGCTGCAAAATCATTTTCTTTAATTATGTAAGTGACAACATGAAAGTGTAAATACAAATCGTGCATAAGTTTTATTACACCTGTGGAAAAAAATGTCACTTTTATGTTGCCAAGCGCTTTTCTTCTTCTTGTCAATTAGTATCTAATTGGCGCTTGAAAATGTGACTTAACAATTATTTGAACATCATTTATTTTTAAACTTGCCTTTGAAAACATACTTCGTTAAAATGTACTCAGCAAACTTCACCTGCTGTCTGGGCAATGTCCTATCATTCCCAGCAGGGGGCGATGTTTAGACAAAAGAATATTCTGGTCCATCAGCAGCATAGTACACTGCACTTCATACATAAGATATTGTTAAATCTTTTATCGAAATGTAAATATAAAATTACATCTATTACAACAGGTGTATAGGAGAGTAATTAGTCCATGCAAGCACACTGTCTCACTTTTAAAAATACATTCATTAGCTGCAAGTTCCGTCACATTTTGCTTGCAATGGGTTTGTAATATTTACAGTCTGATAAAGTTATGATACAATGTTTTATTTCTTTATTTAGTTCTGATTGAGTGATTAAACTATCTGCTGTTGTATTGCATTATACCTTGGTCAGTTTTTGTGTTCTTGTCATTTTTGCCCTGAAATAAAACTTGTTTTAATTGATTCAGAAACAAAGTCTTTGAATCTTCAGTGATAGAGGCTTGTGATTGAACCCAGACCAACAGAAAGTGCCTGTATTTGGAATAGTCATTTATTTACCTGCGACGTACATCAGGTTAAGAGGACAAGCCTTGAATGCAAAGAACAGTGCTGTGTTGGCTGCTCCAGGCTGAGAGAGGCTCCGTCAGTATTGCAGCTTCAACATTAGCACTAATGGATTATAATGAAGTCTATCAATATAAAAAGCAGGGACTGACTAGAAATGAAGAGATGTTCCTATGAATTCAATTCATGCTGGTCCTTTTAAAGATGTTAACTCCATTATTGTGATCAGAAATTATATATTTATTGAAACTTGACTTATTTATTGATTTGTTTTTAGCTTAATAGACAAATTATGGAATAAACCATCAAACAGTTTTTTTTTGTTATGTGGGTCTTTGTAGTATTGGAAAAATGCACAAGGAAGTTAGTCTCAACAGTGAATGTATTGAGTCAAGAGCTGGCCTGTCAGGTTGTTCATTGTAGTAGCATCAGGAAATAACCCTTATCTAACAAAAAACAAGTTGATCCTCTTCATGGAATGACTTGGGAGAGATTGTAAGTGAAATATATATCATACCCATAGATCTCAGAAAGTTGCAGGACTGCTGGGTAAAAACACAGCTTGTATATCACAGCCAGATATGCCAGATATGAGGAAAATCTTCTGGGTTTAAAATTCCTCAAGTCTCTATGTTCAAAGTAAAACACAAGGAAGAAGGGAAACAAAATGTATTGCTTGCACCAGAAGTTCCATGGTCCTCTTTCTAACCGGTAAAGGGGAAAGAGATTCAAGAGTCATTGCCGCAGTCACACAAACTGTGTATAAAGTGCTTCAAATTCAGGGACCATGATTTGTAAAACCAATAATACTGCAGAGCAGCCCTGCAGCAATATGGTGTGTTAAATTAATAATGAGTCGAGGAATCTGAAGCTGCTTTATTCAGTTCTTTCTAATGTAGAGATGATGCAATTATTTGTAACTGTCTGGTGGCTACATATACCATGTCCTTCCTTACCCCCCTGAAGTATCTTATTGGGATCATTTGGGGTGGGAGGTTGGGGGAAGGGTGGGGGGGGACTAGACAGAGACAATATTGCAGTAGTGACCATACTGATGTAATAGTAATAATACTAATAATAATAATACTGTTGAGTCTTTGCATAATTAGGTCATACAGCTAATATAGGATGAAAAAGGGTAAAGTGGGACATGGGAAATGTACCTTCTGTGTCAGTTTTTATTATGATTTATATGTCATAGCCACTCGTGATAATATTCTAAATAGCTTTGGAGCTCTACTATACTATACAGAAGAAAAAAGACAGAAATATTAAATACAGGATGGTGAACTCTTCCTCTCTCTCTCTCTCTCTCACACACACACACACACACACACACCTTTAATTAGTAAAGTGTGACTCTCAAAACACATTCTGTTTTTGAATTAAAAACACAATAATAATGTATTTTTTTTATTTCATTTGAATTTAAAAGAGGGCCCATCATTAAAATATCAGATTAATTACACATGCTAAACAAGCAGGCAGCAAACGTTCAACACACACCACAGGAAGTGATGTCATATCCACAGAAAGTGCTTTTTCTAATCACATACTTTACTTGTACTTATCATGATTAGAGCAGGGTTTATTTTAAGTTATGTCAGTATTTACATATAAACATAATATGATTAGGCTTAACTGTCCAAATTGATCCATATTCATCCCTATATATATATATATATATATATATTTTTTTTTTAACAACAAAAACTATATATTGTAGTTGTAGTGGGACCTGTAAAGTGAATCATGCGCGCGTTCATGTGCGCGCACACGTTGGGCAGCCCTTTCCTCGAGCTGTGTTGGCTGGCACAGCCCCATCAAAGCTTTCAGAGGCTGCCGCATTAACTCTGTCAGAGAGGGAGCTCCAACTACAGTGTCAGCTTGAACATACAATCGAGATCCGGGAGCCGCTCAAGTCGCAGAACGAAGGACAGGAGAAAAGTAGGCTGACGGAGAAGGAAAGCGTGTGTGCTTGCCGGGCGCTGTTGCAAGAACAAAACGGGATGTTTTAGTTGTTTGCTCTACTTTTGGGGGTTACAACACTTGACACATCATCACCGCTGGGACGGAGGACAGCTGCCTATATCATCACTGACCAAGAGTTGAAGAGAACCGAGGTGGACGTTTGCTTTTCCTCCTCAAGAAGGTAAGTGAATTCAAGTGGTTTGAATGCAGCCGATTTCCTGCCTCACACTTCCTTCATACCGGGAGAGCCCTTCAGGGTCAACACGGTTTCTTTATCTTTAAGATATTTAGTTTACCCTACCTTGTAATTGGGTTTTTGTCACAACTTTTTTTTGTTTTGAAAATTCCCCTCGCTCCTTTCTTGTCTATCATATCATTTGGATGAACTGATGTGACAGCTGCTTACTAATCAATAGCCTAGTGGTCATTTCCTGCGGGTCAGGAAGGCTGCTATATGGCTCCTGGCTCGTCAAACAGTGACAGATGAGGGACCCAGGTCCATCATCAGGCCCTGTTCAGCAATAATGACCTCTGTTTGTTTTAGTGCGCTTAATGCTTCTCCAGTGTGCCATAAAGGAGCTCTTGTTCTCATCCGTCCTCAGAAGCCTTCATGTCTTCTCTCAGAGATAACTGCTGATATCATGACAGGTACTGGGAGGGGAGGGCCCCCCCCCCCTACAAAGGCATCATTGCTGCTGCTCAGTATGCTGTTTTGTTATACAGTGTTGCTCTATTTGCATACATCATATTTTCATTACACAAGAAGGATTTTTTTTTTTTTTAAATACAGTTAGTTGTAATTTTTTGAATATTTCCTTTAAGACCCACCAATATTGGGTTTAAAGGGGGGAAAACTCACTGATCATTGATAGGATAGCTGGGTTTAAATAAGACCTTTGCTATGTGGACTGTGCTCCAATTTTGCTCCAAAATGACTTGCAAAAGGAACTCATAGGGCTGCGTTCCTTTATATTTTTGATCTAATTTAGTTTCTATTTTTCATAGGCAAAATGTTTTCCTATCAGTGTGAATTTGGAAAAACTTAAGTTTCTATTATGTATCTAAGTAAAAACAAATCACACATACATCTTGTTATTTTAACTCACATAATTAAATGACATTTCAGAGAACAAGTGCACACCATTCAATACATGTTTTTTTACAAACTGTACCAGTCTACTTATTTTAACCTGCAGACATTGTGAGCTGCAGCAACCATGAACAACATGTGACTGGGTTACCTCAGGCTTTTACTGAGCAAACCCCTTGGAGTAAGAAAATAACATCATGCTATGGGATCTACAAGTAGAAAAATGTACCCTGGAGACCCCTGCTCAGCACAGGCATCATGTGATTTCAAAGCCGGTGTCTCAAGAGATTAGAAAGACTTGAGACTTGAACACAACCCTTCATGTAACACAGACAGAGCACTTTTGTGTCTGGAGGGGTTGTTGTTGATAAGTTGTGAAATTGTTCTTATCCTGTTGATGAACTACAGCATTTCATTACAACATATAGCATCGTGCAAACTTGCACAGAATGTGGAAATCTTGCCTCATCCATCCTCATCTTCAGTGGGCAGGACGGTATGTGTGTCACTGCTTGTGTAAAAATATTTATAAATCCATGAAAGGTGTAACTTTTTATCTGAACCAAAAAGCGAATAATTCCAAATATTTAATCACTGGCTATTTTTTCTTCTGACGTCATACCAGATTGGAAACTCAAATGTTGTTATCAAAAGTGATCCAGGTTTGCAAATTGTCAAAACATTGGAAATCAGACAACTCTTGTTGGTATGCTTTCTGGTGGATGCCCAACTGAAAGACAAATGAAAGTGAAAATCTTGAGGCAAATCAGGCCATATCTCAAGGTACAACAACATTGTTGACAACCTGTTAGCTTCCGTTCTACAACAGCCACCATTCAACCAATTCCTGACCAACATTTCTTTTAGGTAGTATTGCACATTATGAATTGAAAGCTAGCTGTATAGTTTGCTTGGATTGAGTTGAACGAATATACATACTGTGCCTTTAACTCATGAAAAAATAAATGAACGTGTGACAACCACTGAACTAACCGATCTCAGGGTTGTTGATGCTGAAAGTGTTAACTGATTAGTAGGCCTACTAGAATGAACTCGCATGAAAATCAGGAGCGAAGACGTCTTTGAAAGTCTGTTACACAGATAACCACACATTAATCCACAAGTCTGAAATCTTGATTTAAAAAAGATCCTCCAGAGGGAACCAGGACCACAAACAACGCTGAGCTGTCAAACTGTCTGGATTTAGCTGAGGTGACACCTAGCAGACACACATAAGCCCAAATTGATGTGTTTGCCACTCTACGATTGCCATGAATGGGGAAATCAGCTATAAACCATTGTTTTGAACCAGGCTTGAAACACTTTTAGTTGTGTTGTGAAGTTGGCATTTAAACAAGGACCTACAGCATTTGAGATTCCTGCAAATGGCCACCCTTTGAATATGTTGGGTTATTGCTTTCAAAGCAATTCAGGAGGTTTCCAACAGCGCATGATTTTTTAATACGTTTCATATAAACAATTTTTTCAACAGACTGCAGCAAAATATAAGCTTCTGCATGCATTAAATATTAATGATATTAAATAATGAATTGCTAATTGTGTTTGCATTACTTGTTTCCTTAATCATGCCGTCATCTAGCATCCAGCTGTTGTCTTCACCTCTGCAATTCTTTTGACATTTGACAGATTTTCACCCTGTTAATGGTGTGACAAGGCTTCTCCAATGTCCCACTAATGAGCCTCTTCTTCTCTCCTTTTTTTATGAAGCCTGTTGGTTGTGTGATATCCTCATCTTGCTGTGGAGATATCTGGCTGGTCAAAAGCTAGGCAACTGATTCCTCCTCTGGTCTCCACGGAGACAAGTCTCAGCAGATAAAGGCAGGCTTGGATGCTGGGAATGATACGCTGTGTGAATCTGTGTGTTTGTTTGGAGTGATAGACTCGGCTACCTCTCTGCTCTCCATTTCACACCCAAAGTGTTGCTGCGCTCCCTCCTTCAGCTGGTGGTTCTTCCCCTAAAACTACCGAAGAAATATAACTAACCTAAGTAAAACAAAATACCAAAAAAACAGTATTAGCAGTGATCTCCATCAGAAATAAAATAATAAAACCCAGGAATTAAAAAATGATTGGCTAAGAGAAATAAACTTAAATGCTCCTCACCACAGGCTGCCCAGTGTGTATGTTAGTGTGTTTGTGTGTGTGTGTGTGCATGCAGGTACAAACGTATCCCCTTCTGTCCTCTACCTGCCCCTATAAATCCCCCTCCTTCTCCCTGAGTGTAAATTGTGCTGAAGTTGTTCAGAGGAAGGAGTGAGACCAAAGAACCAGAAAGAAAGACAACATGGCAAAACATCACAGCTGTTTGAATGTCTGACCTATCAGGCCTTGATACATGGGCAATGATTGGCCATTAAGAATAATTGTAAGTTGGCTGTCAGCTAATCTATTGGTGTCAGTTTGGTTGTGACTATGAGGTTAGCTGGAAGGACCAAAAAGTACAGAAAGGTGTTTAATGAAACCCCTGTGTTGATCAAAAACAGTACTTCTGGTACCAGGTGGGCTACCTGTTGTCATTACAATATAGGCGATGTTATTACAAGTTGCAGATCTCAGAGACGTATGTTGCAAGTCATTCTCTGATATTTTCTCATTTCTCTTCAGTCTCTGTAAAAAAAAAGAATCTCCAAGTAAAGATGAAGAATACCGTTTTGATAATTACAACTGTTTTAAGTCACTTATAAAACAAAAATAACGTATAAATGTTTGTCAAAAATATGAATAAAACATTTGACGACCAAATGCTACATTCAGGAATAATGTTTTCATTCATTTTCCTCTTGCCCTCTCTAGATGGCATCAAATGACTCCCGGCTCCAACAGCAACCCTCCCAGAAGGACGCCGCCGATCAGAACTTTGACTATATGTTCAAGCTGCTGATTATTGGAAACAGCAGTGTTGGCAAAACCTCCTTCCTGTTCCGATATGCAGACGACTCCTTTACCTCTGCCTTTGTCAGCACCGTGGGCATCGACTTCAAGGTCAAGACTGTGTTCCGCAATGACAAGAGGATCAAGTTGCAGATCTGGGTGAGTGGATCAAAGATGCAATCACTGTGCGTCTCAATTCTTGTGTTACATTGTATTACCACTCTGCATTTGTAGCAGGTAAACAATGGGCATGCAACAAGTGTCAGTTGTCAGCTGCCAAATCATACTGCTAATAAATAATGTCAGTGTAAACTCCATTCCCTTTTTGGGAAAATGCTTGTGCAAGTCTTGTTGAGATATTGTTGCTTGATTAAAAAAAAGATTGAAAAAACACAAGTAAGCCCATTTTTAATCCTTTTCTGGCAGAGAAGTCCCTTTAGGCTTTACCAGAAGACCTTTTAAAGACATGGTATGTCTAGAATTGTGGGTTGTGGCCCTTGTGCAAGTTAAGCCTTTAAATTGTTCAAGTGCACAAGGCATTACTTCCTCATGGTTTCACACATATACTTCCTCCCTACACTTATTTAGCACTAAATGTGTAGTTTCTGAACATACTGTCAATGTATAAAGAAGGTGGATCAACCTGTCAGTTGGGTCAGGGTTAAGAAACAAGATACATTGTCTTACCTTACGCCTGCATTATTATTATTATTATTATTATCATTATTATGTATTTATTTATTGCAATTAGGAAGCAGCTAAAACAAGACCTGGAATCACAATGATTTGGCAGAGCCATTAGCAGACACAACTCTGTAAAATCCTATAGATAAGTCCTTGTTTTAAGTTGTGATTATGCTCTGGTCTCTTCAGAAAGTTTGTTGCTCTGAAGCTGCTAAACATTATGCTGTTATGCTGTTTTGCTGTTTGCTTTGCAGCTTCAGCAGATAATATTTTGGGTTCGTCACCACAAGTGATTCTTTTTCACATTAAACTGTTGATGTGTAAATTTAAAAAAAAAAAAGTCTTACCGTCAACCAAACTTGTGAAATGTACTTTTGTAAGCCATGCTGTATATGAGCCAAGAAGATTGTCATAGACATTCAGAGATGTTTATTATAATTATTCTGACACCACATAGATGCAGAGTACATATGTCCATGCTTTGAAACGACTGTCAGCAGCAGATCAGCTCAGCTGAGGGCTGGACACAGAGGGAAACAGCGAGATTAAAACCTGAGAGCCGGATCAACAGCTCGCATAGTCTCAGTAAAACAATAACCCTAAATATTTACTACAATGCATGTCGTTGATGTTCTCCATAACATGTATCCATACTTTTCTCTCCACCCTCACATGCCTCATTGTAGACTGCAAATCTCATTGATACACATTGTTAAAGCTGCTCAAACAGATGATTCATTTGAGCCAACAGTGTGTATGCCACTGTTTGATACACAAAGAACAACCCAGATGAATCAGCAGCAAAGGAGTCTACACCAAAGCACACACTCACCTACCTAACTAAACATGTGTATGTAATACACGGCATGCACTGTTAGCAGTGTTTGATATTCTTACAGCTGTGGAAGAGGGGAAACTTTGTGTGTTGTTTGCCGAGCCTTAGCCTAACTACTGATGTTGCTGTTGAGTTGACAAAGAAACATGGTATTTCCTAAACTCAGGAAGTAGAGGAAGTTCTCTATCAGCATCTGACAAAGACGTAACAAGGATTTACTGCAGCGCTTGTGTGGGAGTGTATTTAAAGGGTGTGGGACCATCAGGCATGTCTCTGAGCACTCCTTTATGTGGTGTTAATAATCAACTGTGAGAAAGGCTGGCTGTTAAAATCATGTTAGCTCCCATTGAACCTCACCGGTAAGAGGTTTCACCAGGTCCAAAGACAAAGAGTAATATTGATGATTCCACTCTGCCATCTGCTAGCCTCACTTTATGTGCCATGGAAACAGGCTGGCCTGATAACAACCCCACATGGCCCCTGAGCTGCGAACATGAAGTATATCACGTATATGTACACTGTGCGCACGTGTTGTTTACATCCCTCCCGTCGCTGTCATGGAAATATGTTTGTCATCTTTGAACAGGCACACACCTTTAGCATACTCGGTAAAAAAAATAACACCGACAAACACAGACGCAGGTAGATTATATCCTGTTGTGAGTGGGACACTGCTTTGGGGCAGCGGGTGACGCGTGTTCAGCGACGTCTCAGAGCACGCAGAAGCCTGATTTCACCTCCACCCCACCCCCATCTCCCTTTATACATATACACACATGAGGGAGCAGCTTTTGTTTACCCGCTGGGGTTAATTATAGCAACCCTGTAGACTGTCTATTTGGGTAAACATCCCATCCAACCCTGCCAAAAATGTGTTCATTTCTGTGTGGATCAGATTAATATGGATCTGGAATATTTTAGGCTTTATTGATATAAAAATAGCGCCTGAAAAAATCTCAAAGAAATAGAATAATAATAATAGAAATATAATAGAAAATGATGCAATGTTTTTCTTCACTCTCTCAGACAGAAGCAAAGCACACTGCCCTTTTTCCTTTTCTGTTAAGTGAGAAGGATCAATTTGGGCCATCCAAACAGAGCAGTCCAGCTGTAATGGAACATTCATAACCCTCAATGGCCTCCAGTTACCTGGACAACCCACTACTCCCCCTCCTCCTCCTCCTCCTGCTCCTCACTGTGAGGAATACACAGGGCCCTGATGCCAAAAGGAAGGACTTGGACAGGTTACAGAGTAACCCTGAGAGCGGAGGGGAGTTGCTCTACCAACAACCTGTCTGATATTTTTGTGCGAGCTGTCGTCTGTGACATCACACACAGCCTTCATTTAATTAGTAGAAGATGCTCCTGATAAACTCGCTGTGTCTGAGAGGCACCAACGCACAGCTGCCACGCCTCCTCTGTGAGGCCTGCATTTCTCTTATCTCTGTTTTTTCTTCTTGCTGGCCTGACGCACAACAGAGTTTCCTGGATTGATGAGGGGTGATTGAGGCAGGAGCTGCTATCGAATGCCATCTTCTGGTAGATTTAGTATGGAGCATCATGTGGCATTTTGATGTGATAATGAAGCCGTTTGGGGTTTGGAAGGAGAGAAAGTGTAGAGGTTATACAGGGTGCAGTCGAGTCCTGGCCTTTTGTTTCTAAGGTGACAAGATCAACTTTGTATGTGCATGTATATTTATTCCAAGAGCATAGAATTGAATTAAAACATGCAGTGTTTTTATCAAAGGCAAAACCAATGCAAAATCAGTTATTATTTGTTCAAGGGTTTCCATCCTGATGGAAATAGACTGTCATTTTAACAAGTGTTGACATTTTATTTCATAGATCAACTAAGAACAACAAAGTGATTTTCTATTAAAAAAGACAAATGTGGTGAAATATCTTATGTAATAACTATCCATCTGCATTTTGCTGTATGTTTAAAAAAAAAGTGTGTTTAAGGAGTAGACATGTAGTAGAGCTCATTAATACGGTAAGAGGTATGTGTTGCAGCAACAGGTCATCGTTTTGACAATACTGCCCCCCTGTGGTCAAATTAATTTTTTTGAAAGCTTACTTGTGAGTTTCTGTTTTTTTTAAAAAAATTTTATAGTTTTATTGAATTATACTTTGTGTTTGTGTGTGTGTGAATGCAGGATACAGCAGGGCAGGAGCGCTACCGTACCATCACTACAGCATACTACAGAGGTGCTATGGGCTTCCTGCTCATATATGACATTACCAACCAGGACTCTTTCAATGCAGTTCAGGACTGGTGAGTTGGACATCAACACCTTGGTCTGTGGTTAATTACACCAGGAAGTATTGCTGCTTAATGTAACATAGAGTAACATGATCTCAAATAATCCAGCTTTCATCTCTCATTTCATTTAATAAGCTAATTAATAACTTGTATATATATATATATATGTATTATACAATATAAGTGATTGCCACATGCTTTTATTTTGGAGATTTAACTAAACCAAAAGTTCGATGTTATGCACACACCAACACAAAGTTACTGCATATTTACTATTGTTTTTTAATCAGAGACTTTTGTTGACCAGCAGCTAGTTATTATTCATGCTTTGAGAAAGTGATTTAAGAATCCTTTGTTTTCAAACTGCTGCGAATCATTCTGTTGTGCTACAGGGCAACACAGATTAAGACATATTCATGGGACAACGCTCAGGTGATCCTGGTTGGTAACAAGTGTGACCTGGAGGATGACAGGCTCATTCAAACAGAGGATGGCCAGAGACTATCAGAGGAGCTAGGTAACAACTATTTCACTCGTGCAGTTTTGTCTTATTGGCAAACTTCTAGCCTTTATGCACCGTATCTGTGTTTTATTTTATCGTGCATATATTTGCTATATTGGCGTATTGTGAAAGAAAGATCATGCCATTGCATTCTCCCTCAGGTTTCCAGTTCTTTGAAGCCAGCGCTAAGGACAACATCTGTGTGAAGCAGGTGTTTGAGCGTCTGGTGGACATCATCTGTGAGAAGATGAATGAAAGCATGGAGGGAGATGTAAACCTCATGTCCAACCACGGGAACCAGAGCCTCAAAGACTTGCCTTCAGAGAGCCAGGGGGGCTGTTCCTGCTAAGACCACCTTCCTTCTTACCTTTGTCAAGCCTCCAACACACACACACACACACACACACACACACACACACTCAACACATGCACTGATAATCATAAAGACAAACACCTTATCTGTGCCTAAACCACAGAGAGTGCCTCTTCCTTTGTCTTCACTCTGGACACAATCAGCTCTGTTTTGTCCCCTCAGTGCAGCACAAACCAAAGGACAGCTAGCTGAGATCATCTTCATCAGTGGTGCCAGGCCCCCTCTCCTCCTAAGACCCCCTGTTCTATTTTTCACTTAAAAGAGGCCCACTCTGTTTCTGTGGTCTCGACCCATCAGCTCTGTGATAAGCTGATAGCACACTAAAGCCTGCCTTTTGCTCTGTCCACCTCTGATGTCAACTGCCTGACCACCGCTGCCCTATTCTCATTCAAATGGACTGAAGATGAAATATTTGTTCAGCTTAAAAGCATTAAAGTTTTTTTTTTCTTTTCGTTTAGTGAGTAATCCCAAGAATACGTATTCAACACTTTCACAGCGATAGTTGTGTTTTCACCTGAGACTAATTAGAAAGAAGTTTTGGTGGCTTGTGAACATATTATTTATTAGAGGACTTAGAGAGAGGTTTGCTTGTCTGGTCATTTAGGACACTTCATGTTCATGTCAAATAGAAAGAGGGAGAGAAAAACGAGTTTTATACTGCGTTGAAATTATGAATTTGTCAGACATGAGCACATCATGCTTTGCAAGGCTTACAGGAACAAATCAACACTTTGGGAAATAACCGTATTCACTATCTTGTTAAGATTAGAACATGTGCAACTGTGAAGCACACCAGATTTCCCAAGTTTCACTTTCAGATAACGACAACATAACAAGGTAAGAGCCACCTCACATTTTAAAAATGAATCATAGTAATCATAATTATAGATTAAAATAATTTTAGTTTAGTCAATCTGCTTTAATCAGCAAGATGAGAGTTTGAATCCAACTGCAATATGCTAATGTTAATGTACTGTAACAGGTTCATGCTCTAAGATATCCCAGGTTGTCAATGGTACAAGTCAATTTTCTTCCTAAAACAATTCAGTAATTAATGTCATTTTAATATAAACTGTTAGTAAAACTAATTGGCTTTTTCTGTTTGTTTTAAGTCAAGGACTTGGGCCACTTTGAAAGATGTGTTCTTTGTTGCAAGAATCTGAGGTTTATAAAGGAAATGAGAAGAGTGAGCTAATCTAGAATCTAGAAATGTTTCAAGGCCAATTTGGAGCCCTTTTCTCTGTATGCCTACGACTAAGGCAGCAGACTGATGCTTAAGGTAAACAATTAGCTTTGTCGTTTTTTTCTTTTTGAGTGTGACTGTACGAGGAAGTTGTGTAAGACTGGTAACATTGATAGTCACATGACCAGCCTCCTGCTACGTTCTCACTCCCCCCTCTATGCCAGTCTTTTTATTTCATGCATCCTTTAAACAATGACATTTACAACACACACACACACACACACACACACACACACACACACACACACACACAAACAACACCCACAGAGACTGCTCCTGCAACTGCAACATGGCAAAACACTTTGCATGGCAAACGTACTATTCTTAATATAACAGAGTACTTACGTATTGGTATTATAGCTCTATAATCTATTTCTGACATAACTAGTGAATGTGTGTGTGCGTGTGTACTCAGAAAGGGAGGAACACTGATCTCTTAGAAAAATAAATTCGGGCCTCAACTGTGCTTTTTTAACTGTCAGGAAAAACAATGAACTGTTGCAGAATGTAAGTCTAAAGGGCCTGTGTCGCATTACTGTAAAATCTCATTTTATATTCACTCCACATTATGTTCTTTTTTTCCGTCAGTTGTATTACACTACATATTGAATAGCTTTTTTTGTCCATTTGTTTTTCCATGTGCAGTACTGAACAGTAAACCTCCACCTATACTACTTTTTATGTTTTTAATTTCTATTTGTTGCTACAGTGCCATTTACCATCCCTGTACATTTGCTGGCCTCTGACCGTCTGTATCAACCAAAGCTTTGGCACTTTGACAGCAGTCAGGCTGTGCCGTTACAAAAGCTACTGTTGCTCTGTACAGGTCAGCAGGTTTAGGTCACAACTTTTGGTCAGTTGACTCCCCGCTGTTGTAGAAACATGTGGTCCCATATATCTCTATCAATGTTTGCTGCTGAGAAATGATACTGTTTTAAAGATATCAGAAAGCCCTCCTTATCTCATCTAAACCACATTGAACTATAATGGAGGAGTTAAATAAAGGGAGGCAGTACACATGTATTACACCATTGAGTATGTCTTTAATGCACTAGGAAAGACTGCATTTTTTGAATTGCAGTGGCATCACAATGATATGATGTCTGTGATAGTTTCACTGAATGAGCTTACATTGGCAGCTGCTGCTTGAACATATATTGAGTGTGCTGAAATTTCCACTGATTCTGAATTTTGAACCAACCATTTTGGCTTCTGACATATTACTTCTGTTGCCCCTGATGCTGATGTACCAGTAAGCCTGTAGCATGTAGAGCTGTGTGTCTGGGGTGTGTCTGTTATTTCCCATATGTGTGGTCTATTTGTTTAATGTGTTCAATTTCTGAATGGTTGCTTCTAAAAAGCGGGGAAATAGGATTTTTTTATCCAGATCCCCTTTTTAGTTTCTGACTGTACAAAGAGAAGACTTGGAAGAAAATAAATGCATCATATAAACCCAAATATGTTGAAATGTGTTTATGAAAATAAAGGATATATTCAATACAAGAGGGAGAGTGTTACTGCCAATCAGTGTCCTCTTTTCAAAAGCGGTGTCCAATGGTTCAGCACGAGTGAATTGTATGTGTAGTGACAGCAGCATCTGAAGTGCAATTTATGACCATCCTTCCTCCTAACCTCAAAACATCTGATCAGGCTTTTACACGTTTTATCTGACAAAACAGAGAAACCACACTCTGCCATGGTCCTCCACAACAATGCATGTTTCTCCATCCTCCTCATCCTGCCACAGTGGTCAGTTAAAAACAACAACCTCTTCTTTGCAGGGCCCCAATACTTTTCAACTGATTGAATCTGGAGTTTATCCCTAATCTTCCCTGGGTTCCCTGCAGATCCTCAATGTTTGTGTTTAATCCATATGAATTCATATTATTTTTACTGTTTAAAATGTTTTAAATCTTTTTTTTACTAAATCAATGTATTTGATTCCTTAGGTAACCTTGGGAAAAGCATTGTCCTGAGATTTAGAATAAAATATGATAGCCCTATCAGGGGATAAGGCCAGTCTGTTATTTAAAGGAGACAGCAGCATCACACTGATTGACCCAAGTTTGAGTGAAACATTCAAAAATGACATTACATAAAGATTGATACAAGATTACACAATTTGAATTATAACTTTCTAACGTTTTGAGGGAAAAAAACAAGGTTAACACGTTGTTATGATGGTTGTTTCAGACAGTAGTGAATTCATAGTCCAGTCCATGAATGAGATGTTGTTAGGTTTGCTTATAACTGACCTATTTGGCACATAGGCTACTGTACATATGTGGCGCTGTATTTAACTAGGCGATGTCAAAGGTTCCATCTTCCATAATTGAAAGCTATTTTCTGAACTATGTTTACTAAAACATAAAAACCACTTCTCTGTGGTCAGGCTGTCTTCACCTCGCCATGTGATGCAAAGAGGGGCTTTATTGCATATGAACTGAGAGGGGAGAGGCCGCTACGCCTCCTCGGCTACTTATCAGAGTTGAAGAAGCAGGCGTGTCTGCAGCTTTGATAACGCAGGTCAAACGAAGAAAACACGCGGGTGAAATTAGAAGATAAGAAACCGTTTAGCTCGGCTTCTCATGTGTGTGAGTACTCTGCGGTTTCGGTTACTTCGAAACATTGAAATGAAAATTGGCTCAGGGTTGCCACATCTCGAGGTCAGACCTTCTGAAATCGCATCCTGTTAAGGTGTATGCCTCCTCAACTCCTGGCTCGGACCTACAGGCGACCTACGAGGCAGGTGCTCAGTAGCATAACGAAACATAAAATTATTACTTTTATGTAAGCAATCACTATTTTGCCACTTCTATCTATCTATCTATCTATCCATCTGTCTATCTATCTATCTATCAATCTATAAATCTATCTATTATGGCTGACTGGCTTGCTTGCTGCTGGCTGGCTGGCGGGACGTTTGTGCGCTTTTACGCACGACACGAGTCGTCCTCAAATAAGTCGTAAACATCAATGAACGCTTAATTCCCGCCCATCAGCAAGGGAGTAAAAACTTTCTTAAGACTGCTCTAACCCCACCCCCTTTTCACTTACTTTTGGAAAAAAGTAAACAGCTCGTCTCTACACACCTTATCGCTCTCGAGCAGGCGCGTAACCACGTTGCGCTATCCACGGTATCTAAAAGAAATAACAAGCTCAGGCGAGAGCTGCATCACAAGCGTTTGTGGCGTGTTTGTTCCTAGGTATGCAGTCGGACATCAGAAAGCAAGAGTCTTTCTGTTTACAGAGAAGACAAAAAGGATGAAATGCAACCACCCGAGCCGGTTTGGGACACTTTATGTGATATTTTGCGCCATGCTGGCATCTTCAATCGTCCAGGGCGCACGATATTTCGAAAAAAAAGGTAAGATAAAGTTTTTTGGGGGGCCTTGCTTTGGCCTACCTGTATTCAAAATAAAACGGAAAATTTAAGCTTCAAATATCTTGAGACGTTAGGTACAGATGAAATCCCTCTCTGTTGGTTCAATAAATGTATTTTTAAATAGCAATATCAATCAAACAATCAATCTTTATTAGTATAGCGCCAATTCATAACGCATGTTAAATGAAGACACTTTACAAAAAGCGGGTAAAATACCTTACTCTTTGTTATCTGATATTATAAAAGAGCAGGTAAAAGATCTTAGTCATAGCGTGAATGTCAAAAAACGTTTTGACTTCCTCCTCACTTATCTGCTGTTCCCCTAACTTCACTTATTCAGTGTCTACACTACTGAATGAGGTGTCAGAAAACCCAAAGTGCTTTGCTGAGGGCAGGAAAGACTTCACATGCTTCTGGGAGGAAGATGAGGAGAGGGCCGGATCTGTGGATCAGTACTCTTTCACATACACCTACCAGTAAGTCACTTTTAGTACAGGACATAGTCTAAGACGAAACCTTGAGGAGCCCAATATGATCAATATACTGAAGTTCAAAGCCATTCTTAAGCCCAAGAGTTCTGTTTTCCTCTGCCCTGTGTAGAAATGAGCACAGCAACAGTTGCCCATTGAGAGTCCTGCATGCAGCAGGTGGGAAGAGACTGTTCATGTGCCATCTGAACCGAACCCAGATGTTTGTCCAAATGGACATACAGGTTCTCCGAGAGGGAACACTGATCCACAACCGCAGCCTTCTTGTTGAGCTTGTCTGTAAGTTATTATCCTCCCCCACACACACACACACACACACACACACACACACCAGCTCAGGAGTGCTTTCTTTGGGCAGTCCCCTCACTCTGACATCTCTCCATAAGTGCAACTCCATAGGATCCTGTGCATGTGTGTGTATATTTCAGCCAATGTGTGTGTAGCATTTTCAACTATAGACTGAAAAATTGTAATAATCCCCAGATGGGATTAATAAAGTGTATCTTATTTTTCATCTTTTTTGTGTTCTAAATAGTTTTTTTAATTCACTCTTGACCTCATAATCATCCATTTGACACAAACCTGACATATGAATGCTAATTGGGCCCAGTATTGGAGGGATGTCTGTACCAAATTGTGTTTGTTGCGCCTAGCTGGCAAACAAATTGCAATTACTTGTCTCTCTCGACGTAGTTCTTCTAGACCCTCCAGCTAATGTGACAATAAGCCGCCCAGGTCATCAAGGCCAGCTATATGTTAGCTGGATGCCCCCCCCCTCTGAAGTACATGGATGACAGCATGATCTACGAGGTCAGCTATGCTACAGCTGACAGCCACAGGTGGCAGGTATGCCTGATTAAATAAGTCATTGCTGATTGGTCGGTGTCTCCAATGACCTGTACCGATAAATTGAGTTCTGTTTCGCAGGTAGATGTGGCAAAAGCCAGCTCAAAAACGATCTTGAGAGGTTTGCAGCAAAGTACAAATTACAAGGTGCGAGTCCGTGTGAAACTGGATGGGATTAGCTACAACGGCTTTTGGAGTGCCTGGAGTGATCCTGTGTACATGGAAACACTGCCTGCAGGTAGGTACTGATTCAGATATCGGATACAAAGGTGTGACAAACGCCTGACCTTCGAGCAGCATTTCTTGGCATTCATTCCAAGCGGCTTCCTTTGGAGGAAAGTTTGCAGAACAGTATTATTCCAATACACGTTGGTTTCATTTTTTTCAATCTGTTGCATTCATTTTTTTATGATCAGAGTTAATTGTTTTATGATCATGCTGTGCCTCTACCAGAACTTGACCTACTCATCGTGTCCCTGACTCTCATCATCTCTTTCATCCTCATTGTGGTGTCCCTCACAATACTCCTGTACCATCGCAGGTAAATAAAGCAGGACAAAATAGCAGACCTACCACTCTATGTGCCGCTGCTAGAAACTTTTCAGTAATGTTTAATGAAAAAAAAGAAAAACTGAACTTTCTGCATCTGTATTTTTTTTTTTCAGATTTCTTGCAAAGAAAATTTGGCCAAATATTCCAACTCCTGACCGCAAGTTCCAAGGTCTTTTTACTGTCTATGGTGGAGACTTTGAGGTAAGCCAGACAAGACAACTGCGCAGTCTTGCTAGAGGCTCTACAAGGTGTATATTAACATCATGCATAACCACAGTGAAAAGACATGCGTACTGATCTTTAGTAGTTAAAAATATTGCTGTAGACCTGAATTTGAAGATGGCATTTTGTGAAAAATTAAGGGCTTGCTTAAGATATTACAATTTATTATTTATTCACAAATGACAACACCAAGGCATTACTGGGAAATGATAAGATTATTATCTGTAATAAAATAAGGACAAAGACATTTCTGCAGTTTTCACAATCCTTTGTTATTTTGTGTACAGGAGTGGTTGGGCCAGTCCAATGGAGGCTTCAGGTTGACTAGAGGTTTTTTCAACTCAGAAGAATGCACTTCTCCCCTGGAAGTCCTCTCAGAGCTAAGCCTGTGCCCCTCACTGCCTTCCCCGCCTCTGCCACCAAAGGCCTCTAGGGCTTTGACCACAGGAGCAAAGCACAACATGGATGTAAAGAAAAGGCTGGAGAGGAGAGAGACGGCTGAAATGGTTGATTCAGCTGGGACGGAGGGATGGAGAGCCCCACCACATGATCACTGGCTAATGGACTGTTTACGGGCGCTCCAACAGGACACAATTCCCAGCTCCCAGTCCTCTATTCTGGAATCTCAAGATGCATATGTTACCCTCAGTGCCAATAACTGCAGCAACAATGAACACCTGGATGACATTCTAGAGGAGGCCTCGCCCCTTGAGGCGCTTTTTGCCTCCAGAAAGACAGTGTCTTCTGGATCTCATTCTGACCTGGGATCTGTTCAGCAGAGCTCCGGGTCAGGTCGACTATCATCGCAGTCCAGCTTTGAGTACCCAAACCATACCTGGATGCCTAGAGGCCCTGCAGAATTCACCTACATGGCAGTGGCTGACTCAGGAGTCTCTATGGATTACAGCCCCATGAGCAGAGCAGATGACATTGGAAAAATGGTTATCTATGCCCATGATTACAAGAATGACATCCCTGCTCAGGTGAGACCATTCTTGTTGAGTCAGCATCCTTTCCACGATGTTGACAGCTGAGAGGCAGTAAGGCTGGACAGCTTAAAACAATTAACTCTCACTCTCTTGGGGCACTGGTGGCGCAGTGGTTAATGCGCGTGCCTCGTGTATGGAGGCTATAGTCTTCAAAGCGGCCGGCCCGGGTTCAAATTCAGCCTGTGGCTCCTTTCCCGCATGTCATTCCCCACTCTCTCTCCCTGATTTCCAGCTCTATCCACTGTCCTATCTCTCCATAAAAGGCCCAAAAAGCCCAAAAAGAAATCTTTAAAAAAATTAAAAAAATTAAAATTAACTCTGTTCAGAGCAGTGAATTCACCCCTAAGCTACAGTATGTTATATTAAGTCAACTGTAAATAAGGTGTACGAAGGATTCAGAAGCATACTTAAGTATAGGACTGGTGATACTCAATATTTTCTGTATTTTTAAGAAAATCTCAAGAAAAGACCAAAAATAATAATGACTCAATGCCTTAGTGCTGACCGTGTAGCCAAAGCCTGATATAGCTTAATCCTTGTCTACAGCCATGCTAGCATCAGTGTGAGGCTATACTTATGTTACTAAAATGTTATAAGAATGATCTTTATTGCTCCTATCTGACTTGTAAATAGCGTTCAACTCAACTTCCATGTAAAAATCTGGTTCAGAATCTAGTTTTTATCTAACTTTACAGTCTACCTGTCTCCCATCACATCAATCCCTGACCACAGGTCAGAGGATATGCTGTTATATTGTCCATCATTAAATCAGTGCCCATGATCACCTCTGTAGTAATCACAACTTGACAAAGTGAACTCTTAACCATAACGAGGAGTGAAGGCAGCACAGATTTGTTTGTTTTTTAATAAATGCTTACATTATAGTGACAATGGGTTTGACAATGCTGAATTTGATGTTCAGCATGTGAATCGTGTTCCCCATCTGAGTTTTAAATGTCAAAGTTTACAGTGCTAGCTTGATAACAATCGGTAACTGGAATCTCTTTAAGCGGAAGAATGGGAGGAATCCAGACTTAGACCTAATGATGATAGTAGGTGAAATCCTGAGGACCCTAAATGTATTTTAAAACGATTCACAACATTTCAGTCTGGAACACGTTCATTCCTATTGCTACACATGTAACATGGTTAAAAACGTCTGCACTGTGTTCCTATTAAAACAAACACAGGTACTGAATTTATTCCCCACCTATGTATTGCTATGCAAACGCCCACATTTACATCAGTCCAGTGTAAAAAATTGTCTTCAGCAAATGAACATTGTTATGGTTTGACTTACATTTACCAAAAACTGTCAAGCTGTTGGAGGAAATTTTAAACTGTTAAAAGATATCGAACTGCATCACCAGAAAAACAAATATATTCACAACCAAGTCATTGTCTCTGACAAATTCTTTCATGATTTAAACAGCAACAAGTGATGATTTCTCGTAGGCTTTTTCTCCCCTCATATATCATTTTACTAGTTTGCATTAGAGTATAGTTATATTTTACTCCTTGTTTTCATTTTGAAGAGTCGTCCCAAATATTATTCTGTACATTTGATTTTGTTGTTTATTAAACAATGTAACAGTACTTTAACAGTGATATCAGCCATTGAAGAACAATGTCTCCCTCGCTTCAGCATCAGAAGTTCCACACCTAAAGGCCAGGACCACTAAAAAGACGTATATGTGGAAAAAGAACAAACAATAATATTATATCCACATTTTTTATTTATTTTTTTAAACTGTTTTTTTTAACACAAACTGAGACTTTGCTTTAGGCTCTGGATTTTTTTTTTGTTGTAGCAACTGTTGAATATACGACAAACCCATTACCCTGTGTCTATGTACTTTTTTATGTGACATTTCAACTCATTAAATGTTGTACATGTGCAACCACCATGGTCCTGTTAACTGATATGTGAAAGGGTGGAGGGCATATAAAAACGTATTTTATCAGTATTAAGACAACAAGGTTGGATGAAATAGCAGAGGTAACATATCAGCCACAGAAAAGGCAAGGACTGCTCTGAGCAGGAACGACGAGAAACTGAGAAGATAAAGAGCAGCAGGTTCTATCATACTGTAGCATTACTGCTATAAATCGCTAACTGCTTTAACTCAATGCTCAGCCATGCCAAACACTTATCAGCACTTTTCAGAACAAGCTAGCACCTCCAAACACTTATCAGCACTTTTCAGAACAAGCTAGCACCTCCAAACACTTATCAGCACTTTTCAGAACAAAACTAGTTCCTGCATGAACAAAATTACTCTCAGAAACTCCCCCACTGCTCAAGTGATTGGGGCAAACATATTCAAACCAATTTAAACTCCATCAATCCGTCAGGAAAAATTAACAGCTGCCACTCTTGGTTTTCACTTAGCCTGTCCTTATGGTCTTTGGCACAAGAGGGTTGTGTGTTCCCTGTCCCGGAGAGGAAAATGTGCCACACCTCTTGTAGTCCAGCTGCTGCAGCTTCATAGCTTCTGTCTTTGTCCAGAGTACAACGAACCTGGAAATAGCGATCAAGGACATGAAGGATCGAATCTGTTGCAGCGGACTCTCCACCTGCTTGCCCAGTATCCACTTCTGACTGAAAGGAGGCTATGAAGCGGCAGGGGGCTGAACTGGAGGAGCGTTGTTTCAGGAGTTGTGTGAGGAAGGCAGCAGTGTCACACAGCAATGCAGAGAGGTGTGCTGCACAGGACAGCTCTCCTGGGTAAAATCCAGTGGTGATGCCGCCTACAGGACTGCACAAGTAGCCCTCCAGCCTGTCAATTATGATCAGTGAGGGAGGTGTAGGAGACATGCTGATGGACTCATGAAGGCTGGCCAACTGCTGAAGCAGCTCCTCCACTCTGCAGGGATAGCAAAACTTGATTTTCTTGAAAAGACGAAAGAGAAAAACTGCATTGAGTGACACAAGCTCTTTAAATTATGGTACCTGGTAAAAAAAATGTGATAAATTATTCAGTTTAAATGTCAGAGGAAAAATGGACAATGCCCATCACAATCAGTTTAACGTTGCAACAATAAGTATTTTGTTTAACCAACCATCACTCCAAAAAGTAGACTTATTCTATCAACAACAAAGAAAACACTTCACTGCAAGAAAAGAGCGAGCCTGCATGTTTTTGTTGCTAAAAATGACTGACATGAATGGATCAACAAAGTACTTTAATAATTAATTTTCTGCATCCTCATCTTCATCTGATACAGTATAGCCAGAAAACAGCAATCAGCATCTCTGTTTTGAAACAAAAACATCATTTCTAGCAGTGGATTAATCGGTCATGAATTATTCAGATTTATTGTTGATTAACAATCGGAATGGCTAAATTGTTATTTCAAACATCGGTACAGATATATGGGCCCTGGTTTTCACAAACATCTCTGATTATAACACTTACTGACCAATAATGGTAAAAATAAATAAATAAAAAATAAATAAAAATGGAAAATCATGTTCTTGCTGTTGTTGATTTTTATTTATTTATTTTTTTTACAAAAAAAAGGGATTTACAAAACAGCTGGATAGTTGAAAATCTTAAGTAAGACTTTAAACATAAACTAAAACATTATGAGACCATTGCAAACAGTAAGTTAAAACTTAAAAGCCCGTGAGTTGATAAGCGAATATGGAACTAATTATCAAGCAGACAGTGAGTAAAGTGAGCTTTACCTTCAGACTCTCGGGGCTCACACTGGGTATACATTTCTGCAGAGACGCTGGCAGGCTTTGAATTGGCGTTGCGGTGAAGAACATCACTTTCATCCCCGTCTCGGCGGCTGTCACGGCCGCGAGAAGCAGCAACGAGCGGCTGATGCTGTGGTCTCCCAGCAACAGCGCGCTAACGCTTGTGGGTGATGGAGGCGCGATTTTGAGGTCCTCCTTTAAACCTGTTTTTGACATGAACGTCCTAAACACGAGTGCTAAAATATCCGCCATGACAAAACAGTACCACACACCACAGTTTCTTTTTTCTCCAAATGTCTTATTATAGTAGTGTTAAAGCAGCGGAGTTACCCTCGTCTGTGCAAAGTTACCCGCGTACGTTCTCATGTAGCACAGTGGTGTTCATCTTGTTTCAGTCCTTGAAAACAGACTACATGTGGAGTACCGTTCCGCTTAGTTTTTTTTTTTTTGTATATCCGGGAAGTATGTCTCCTAATTTTTTTAAATAAAAGTAAACCATGCATTTACGATTGTGGTATGCACTCAGTCAACAATATTAAAAAAACAAACAAAAAAAAAAACAGTGCTATTGACAGACGAGCAGAGGAGGCTTCATTATTTATGCTTCCCGTAAGATCTGACGACTTCCGGGATGCCGAACCATAACATCAGCTGTGTGTGCCAAGATGGCGGATAGCCTGGCAGAGTTAGAAGACTCCATGTACTCTGAGCAAGCCGGCGGCCACGGGAAATGTGGATTGAGGCGCTGCAGAGGACGACCGAGGCTGACAGACTCCGACAGAGCCAAGAGGCGGCTTGAGTCCCGTAAGAAGTACGACGTGAGACGGGTGTACCTGGGAGAGTCACACAAGCTGTGGAGTGAGCTCCGGAAGAGGACCAGTCTGAGTGATGCTGGTCTTGCAGAGTATCTGATTCTGCTCAATTCCACTTATGGAGACAAATGCCAGCAGGAAAACTGCAGGTGAGCCAAAGCAATACTGCATGTTTTTCATTTTTCACAAGGTAGTAGCTTCTGCACGCCTGTGAACATAAATGATTTAACCTGTAAACTGGCTGTCTGATTGAGCAGGTTGTTTTATTCATTTGTAGTTGTTGAGTCATTTTTTTCCCCAATTGTTTTTTTTTTTTCAGTACCAGGAAGAATATAGCTTCAGAAGACTCTACAAAACAGAGAAAGAAAAAAGGTAAGAGTTGACATCGACAGGTGTGGGAATATTTTTCAAATACTTTTTTTAACAGTGTGCCATAGCACCTGTAAAAGTTTATTTAAAATAGTTTCTTATTGATTGGTAAAATGAAAGTGTTATTACATTTCCAACTCATAAAAACGTTTTTTTCTTCAAATGTAAGCCTGGGGGGGACTATAAAGATTAAATTGTTTAACTATTCTCAAAAAAGCAACTCTTTAATTCTGACTGTATAAGAAAGCATCAGTTTAAAAAAAACAAACATAATTAAATTAATGTTAAATCATTTTATGAAACACTTAGTCAGAAGTTATGAGATTGCAAGTAAAAGTTGTAATTTTTTTTTTTTTTTTTTTTGTCACATTTTTCCAAATCAATTTCTATGAAAAGGTCCCGTTCCCTGTCTTTGTTGGTTACACTTCTGTAAAGCACCACACATACAGGTGATGACGATAAAAACTTTAAGTTAATGTTTAAAATTCTATGATTGGCTGAAATAGAGGACTTATTAAAACATTAAAACACATTAAATAGTTCATATTTTGATCTGAGTACATCTGACTCATGGCACTGTGATACTGCCAAGATGAATGTGCATGCCTTTTTTGTTTGTTTGTTTGTTTGTTCGTTGTTGGTTTGTCTTGTTTTGAAATTTGTATAAAATTTGTGGAGAATGTTGAATCCTGAAAAAAAAACACAATAACAAAAGCAAAAGTCCTATCATTTGTTGTTACAATAATAACAACAAATTATTAATAAATGAAGATCCTACAAAATCTAATCAAACTTAGCTCTTCATCTGATGTCTTCCCACTGGCTGACTTTTGTTGTCACCTAGACAGGAAGGCCCGTGTGTCCAGCCTGCAGAGCCTGGTGTGTTGGTACCAGGAGCACTCCATCTCCTGCCCTCATGAGCCCCAGCTGAGAGCCCTGGAGCACCAGCACAACTCCTCCACCACTGCTATCTGGCAATGTGACTCAAACCACTCATTTGTGCAATACCTTTTCTCTCCTCCGAGGGAGTCAGGGGACTCTGAACATGAGCAGGAAGTGAATGGGGATGGTTATGAAGAGGATGCAGCAAAAACAGACGTGCCTATGGCTGCAGGCTTAGTGAGCAGGAGGAGAAAAAAGGAGGCTAACAGTCATTTGAAAGGTGCAAGAAGACAGCTTTACTGTTTCACTCGGTAGGCGTAGTTAAATGTTTATCTGTAGCTTTCTGATACCTTAATAATCAATGCATCTTTATTGATCTTTTTTTTTCTGTAGACGTGGAAAAGAATGTGGATGATTCCGAATTGCAACTTGCCACCATGAGCCCATTAGAACATGCTGCAGCTTTTAACCATCCTCCTAGTATGGAAGCTTCCTCCAAGGATGTTCCACTTACAGGACAGCCTGCCTGGGAAATGGAGATGGTCATGGAACCAGAGCAAAGCTCCCCTGCAGCACAATTTCACTCTGCATCCTCAGAGGACGAGGCAGAGGAGGCACAGGATCTGAGGCAAGGCAGAGATGAGGGAGAAGAAGAAGAAGAAGAAGAAGAGGAAGGAGAAGAATTAAGGGCTTTACCCCATGGTTATGACTGTGCTGCTGATACGGTGTCTTTGACTGATAAACTGAAGAAGACCGATGAGTGCTCGGTGCTATCAAAGAGCTTTAGTGGCTCAGTCAGACTGGGTGCTCAGCCAGAGCTGCCAGTTCCTCCACCCGTACAACAGCAGAGCGAGCTGTTTGACCGGCAGACTCTGCAGACAATGGTGACCAGCTGTGAGATTCCTGACCAGAGGACGGCTTTGGAAGGCTCACAGGTAGATGAAGGAGTACCTTGCAGAGTTGTCAGTACTCATCTGTAATTTAAAATGTATTTACTCAAAAGTTGCCATCTTTTTCCATCTCTAGCTAATTATCATCACTGGCCCCAGTTATGAGACCCTGACCTCAGAGGGCATCCAGCTCAACATGGGTGGTGGAAATGTGGAGGAAGTCACCTGCACTGTGATCGGGGGTGTCACCTACAACCCGGTTTGCGGGTCTGACTCAAAACTCAGAACGTCAGAGGATGAAGACTTCATGACAGGTGCACTATAATCAGAACCACAGTTTTTTTTTTTGCACCCTCTTTCAAAACAAAACACATGCTGACTGAATCTCAGAATAGGACTGCAGATTAACATTTAGGTGTAGGCTTTATTGGCCGTTTTCTATAAATCTTTTTCATTGCAGGTGGACCCAAGAAAGGGGGAATTCCATGTTAAATATTATAGCTCAATCAATCTTTTTTGTATAGCACCAATATATATATATAAACAATGTATTCTCAAGACACTTAACAAAAAAAGCAGGCTTAGTCTTGTGTTAAATTCATATATATGTATAGTGTTTAACACATTAGTTGATGCTGCTTTTCATTGTTCATACACCCAATTTTCACTTTCGCTAGTTCTTGATGTTGACAGCCTGTCTGTTGTATTATGAATAAAACGACTGGCTTTTAGAGCCTATAATGGGGAATTTACATGTTTTACTTAATATGGTTAAAAGCGGGGGGAAAACATGCTGATTTAAAAAAAAAAAAAAAAAAGGGACAGACAGTGTATTGCAAACAGACTTGGTAAACAATTCATGGCATACATGAAGAATGTGATCGAAACATCGTTCAGGAGTCCTCTGAAGAGATTAAAAAAATAATAGCCTCTCAGTACAGCGTCTTCACTGACTAGATTAGTGTTATTAAAGTCTGAAATCCAGTCCTCACCTTCAGAGTGTGCCTTATTGATTGATCGATCCAACACCTGCTTGAGTCACTTTGTAATCCTTTTTTTTTTTTTTTGCACTCTTCCTCTGCAGGCTTGAGTGACAAACAGCTGCTGCAGCCTGCTGTGGATGTTTTGGAGCTGGATAGTGACAGAGGGCTGCAGCGTAGTTTTAGCAGGTGGGTGCCCCGCATTCTCCACATGGTGAATTTTATGGCTGTAACAAACACAGAATCTTGTCAGTCAAATAGCTGCTTTGGTGGCTCAGTTCAGTTTAGCACCACACTAAACTTCTACAACTGCTTTCCTGAGTTTTAAGGTTAAGGTTTCTTTATTTTTACCTTGAAAGGTAAATTTGTTTTTCGAGGTACATACAACACATAACAATACAGGTTAAATGGAGCAGACAGAAAACATTAAAACAAACATTGTGCATTACACCAGGTCATGGCAAGGTCCTTACAAAGAGTTTTATGTCTTATCTGAAAGATGTACATTAATCAGTGTTTTCATGAGAACTACAAACCGACAGGAAATTAAAACATTTAGCGCTGACTACTTTCCGAGGGTTTTGAGTCACATGAAGGTCATTTTTATTACGATATTAATAAGTGTAAGTCAGCCAATGAGGCTGAACTGATTTACTGAGCTCAGATCCACTACTACTGTGAACTAAGTCAGCAATGTTTGTTTATTCAGTGTCAGGTCCAAGAGAAACAGGCGAGGCCCTGTCATTGAGGCAGATGGGATGCTCAAGATGTTCCACTGTCCCTATGAGGGCTGCAGTCAAGTCTATGTAGCTATTAGCAGCTTTCAGGTGAGCAATAGCTCTTTAATTATGCCTTATTTTTCAGTTTCAGTTGTTTTATGATTTAAAAAAAAATTCCCTCTTTTATCTCTGCAGAATCATGTCAACCTGGTTCACAGGAAAGGGAGAACAAAAGTTTGCCCCCATCCAGGCTGTGGAAAAAAGTTCTACCTATCAAACCACCTGCAGCGCCACATGATCATCCACTCAGGTGTGCTGCTAACAAGGACACGCGTTTCATATTGTCATAAATGAATCTAGTTTTTTTGCAAAGCGTAAAATCTAACAGAGTCTGTTTTCAGGGGTGAGAGATTTCATCTGTGAGACTTGTGGAAAATCCTTTAAGCGTAAGAATCACCTGGAGGTTCACAGGCGGACCCACACAGGAGAAACTCCACTTCAGTAAGTTTCAGTTTTTTGTTCAGAGCATGTTGGACTGATATTTGCAGTGTGTGACACTTGAACTGTGTCAGTGTTGGGTTATTGGACATGGGTTCATTTCATTATGTACATGCAGAAATTCAATTGAACAAGGATTAAAAGAACATGAACAACATGGCCCATAATAATCAACACATTGATCTTCCCTCTCTGTTCTTCTGTGCTCTCTCCATCTTGTCTTTTCAGATGTGAAATCTGCGGCTACCAGTGTCGCCAGCGTGCATCCTTGAATTGGCACATGAAGAAGCATACTTCCGAGGCCCACTACAACTTCACCTGTGAGTTCTGCGAGAAGAGGTTTGAGAAGCTGGACAGTGTGAAATTCCACAAGCTAAAGAGCCACCCGGACAAGCAGGCAACTTGAGACGTATAGGACCTGGTGTTAGGAGCTAACATCAGTCAGACGAACAAGAACTGGTTGGCCTTCAGAAACCAAAGGACCACCTCCATTGAAGAGACATAGTTTCCTTTTGCGGTGTGTGTCTTGCTTCTTGTGTCCAGGAGGATATGAACATCACTCTGTGAACACACCAGCAGTTGATAAATGCATACATGGCAATGTCTGACAGCAGTGCAGGACACCAGCTGTTTTAGAATCAAGTGCCCAAACATGCTTTTTACACATTGTTTCTCTATGGTGTCCAATGACCTTTTGCCTAAACCCTCCTCCGAACACTGTTCTGTTGAGCTTTGGATTTCCATACATGTTGAAGTAGGATGCAATGCATAGAGATACGCTCTCTTTGTAAAGACTCTTTTCAAACCAAAAAAACAAAATCATGAGCACAAAAAGATAAAGAATGGATTAAACTATATTTACTTGCTCTGACACAAGATAGAAGAACACCATGGTCAACTAGCTCACATGTTATTTCCAATGGTAACATCATTTCAAACTACATAGGCCTAATGTAACAACTGTTACAATAAGATAGTCCTGTTTGTGATCGCACGCCCGCTCTGTTGAATTTCCCCACTGTGTGGGAGCTGGTCCACAATGCTACAAGAGCAGCATGGACTAACATTGGTTCTCTGTTTTGCTCCTCGTGGGCTTCAGAAAAAGTTAGATTCTGGCAAGCCCAGCTTCTTATTAAAGATAATGCTATGTACACAAAGACAGTGGTTAATTTACATCCTTACATACATACTGTTGAAAATAAGACATAAATTATAAAATCTTGCTTGTATGAGTGTGACAGCTAAATAGCTTTTACATTTGAGCAAATCAGAGTCTTCTCACTCTTTCATCATTAAAGTGAATCTAACTACAGCTCTAAACTCTCAAAATGTAGATTTATCTTTTTTCTTTTCATGCAAATAGTGATTTGAAGTTACTATTATTATTTACTCCTAATGAAGTGGGTCATTTCAGAAATATTGATGGTTATTAGTAAATGGTCAAGTAAACGGTCTTCATAAAGTATTATCAATTTAACAAATCCATTTTGAACACCATGAAAACTGCTGTGCCTTGATTTAAAAGGCTTGCAGTGTGAATGCAGCCAGTGTATTGTTGTAGTCCATCTGTACACCAAAATGAAAGATGATCTCTTATTTCACTTCCCATATTTAGCCAGTGCTGTGGCTAAATATGAGAGGTTGGCCCTTCCGTTTCAGTCTCTTTAAATTTGTGTTGCGTCTGTTGGAGAGCCGAGAGAGCTGCCTGGATTTTACGTTTTCCACTATCTGAGTCCTGACTCACAGGCCCAGATAAAAAACAAAAAAGTCCTGTGAGTTTCATGTGACAATTTCTCAGGAAAGCTCATTTAAGTTCTTCTCGTGTCCCTTGCTGTGTTGTTCTGGTGGGTGTTTTAGTTTTAGGCAAATGCACTTTTTTCTTTCTCCTGTCACCTCCGTTTACTGATGACTCAAGTATGTGAAAATGACTCATATTTGTATTGTATAGATTTTCTAAAGGACATTTGTTTGATATGAATGATTAATAATATGCAGCGTGTACTTGAGTCTTGCATAACTTAAGGATGTGTGCTTGTGACAAAGTGTGGGTGTGCATAATTAGTAAGAAAAGGCATGAAAAGCATAAGTGTCATGACACACAGTCATTGAATGACTTCACAGATACGGCACCCTTTCAAAGTGTTGGACGTTAAAATGGTTTCTGAATGTTTGTATAAAGGTTTGGCTTGGAGAGAAAACAGATAGTTTGACTTCAGGCTACAAAGAAATGATAACAGCTATTTATATAAAATTTGTATGTTTTGATTTTTTTTACGATGACCCTTTCCATGCCTATTCATAGAAGCTATAATTAAAATGTTATTGCTCCAAATGATCTGAATGATCAGTGTTCCTCTCCTGTTAATCATCAAACCCACTTGCGTCTTTTGGACTGACATTAGCTCTGTCCATCTGTTCAAGTAATGTGACGTTCAGATAAAGCAGTTGACACACTGTCCAATGAGGGAAATATGAGGCTAAAGTCTGAGCAGCATTCAACCCATTTTGACACAGTGTTCTATATTGCACTGAATTGCAGCTATGAATAATATAAAGGAAAAAAAGGAGAAAATACCAGCCTCCCAGCTCAAACAGATGTTGACAAAGCTTACTTACAGCCAACAAACAAATCACACAGACCCCTCCACCTGAGTATCTCAAAGCCCTGACTGAAATGTAGTTATTGAATGGGTGCAAAACAAACAAGAAAAATCACAGAAAAGTAAATAAGAATTTTATATTTTATTCAGACTTGTTGCTGACTTGAATATTGTCGGTGTTTGCATGTAAACAAGAAGACTCTGCAGCATTTTGAATTAGCTCCAGCCTTCTTATTGTTCGTGTGGGTAATCATCAAAGCGAGCATTCTACCCTATTGTGGTTTGCACTAGTATGCACCTCTTCAACACGTCATCCAAATAAACCTCTCCTTTTACCTTGCCATGCTACGTAACAACACTGCAAGCACAGCTTGTGTGCTCATGGTTGCTCAAATTCAGCTCAGCAGGAGTAACGCCCATGTGAAAAATTGGCAATGAAAATGTTTTAAACTAGAAATGTAAACATCTTAATTTTCATGAGAGTTAAAAATATTGCTGAGGGAAGTGTAAAATGAGAGAAAGCCCCAGTAAAGGGACCTTTCTGTGACTCTGACACCTGCGTTATTGTCTTTTATTAAGTTATGTATTTTTGTTAATGCAACAACGGATATTACCATATACAGTGTGTCAAATATTGTGATTCATTCAAGTTATTTTTACCTACCTGGGGAAATAAATTCCAAATGACTCCCAGGCCCAGATGTGAGTCCACTACTTGGTCATCTCTCAAAAGGAAGGTTGATCCCCAGGTCATGCTTCCACATGAAGATGTGTCCTTGGGCAAGACACTTAACCTTAAATTGCTCCCGCTGCTTAGGCGGTGGTGTGTGCATGTGTATGAATGGGTTTAGTTAATACTGATGGACACTTTACATAGCAGCCTATGCCATTAGGTTGTGAATGTGGTGTGAATGGGTAAATGTGACCTGCGGTGTAAAAGCGCTTTGAGTAGTCAGACAATTAGAAATGTGTAAAACAAGCTGAAGTCTGTTTACCGTTTAGGTCTCCATTAATTCACGAGGGAATTATCTGTCTCTTTAGCTGCAAAATTCTCCATATTCGACATCTGGTTGCTTTCTTAGTCTGTATGTTGTTTGGTGCAAGTAAAGAGCACACAGAGCTTGATTAGTTGGGCTAAGATTAGCTCCAAAACCAGGCCAAACAGTGAAGTTTAAAGTCATAAAAACCCCAAAACACAATGAGACTAAAAGGCACTCCTACAGTGCATGTTGGGTAATCATTTATTTAATAAAGAAATGAAGTTAATGCATTTCTACGTTGCCCAGCATGTAAAAAAAATGCTCTAAATTCAAAGACAAGAAAATCACAGAAATGACTTAATGCCTTTCAATTGTATCAAAAACACATAAACTAAAAGGTCAAGAACCATCCAAGAATTTTACTTAGTAGATTAAAAGATAATAATAAAGAATGTGGATCAGATATTTGTCGACGCTCTCTCTTCAGAACGACAACAATCATAAGCACTGACATAGATTTGTAATATTGACACACTCTGTTTATATAAACACCTGGAAACAAAGTGCAGGTGTGACTGCACACAGGTGAGCTCTCTCTCTCTCTCTCTCTCTCTCTCTCTCTCTCTCTCTATCGTCCCCTCCCCCTCCCCTTCCCCCAGGGATAGCCAGCCTAACTCCATGGTGATAATTGTAATTACTGAGCAGCTCTGGTCACGCCCACCTTCTCTCTCTCCTCCTCCCCCCTCCACCCTCCACCCTCCCTTTCCAGCACTTATAACCAGCTGGTAGCCCAAAAATAAAAGCAGAAAGCAGAAAAAGTCCCTTAGAAGCTCTTCATACCGAACAGAGAGGCTGTGACAGAGGAAGTGGGAGACAGAGGGTATATTGTTTATCGGTTTCCAGTACAAGAGTGTGGAAGAATAATACACCCCTGTACTCTTGTTATCTCACAGCCGGTCTGCTCCCACAGCAACAGCCTCCATCACCAGAGTGAAGGTAGGGACTCTTAGCCGGCCAGCCTCAGAGCACGTCCCTGGATATTTCCTGTGAGAGGTAAGCAAACGCTTCTTTTAGACTGACTGATTTAAACTTTGGTGGTATAGGCTTGAAATGTGAGTTTTAGGTATGTTGGTAATTTTTGAATGGGCGTATCAACATACGGAAAGATCTATCAAACAATGATCCTTTGTCTCCTTAGACCTGCCTGTAATTATTCTGCTCAGTTGGGTCCTTTGAGATTTGCCTGTGTCTTGGATGGAAGTTCATAAGGTGGAGACAATGAAGGGTTTTTTTTTCTTTTTAAATTCTAGAACAACAATAACTAACCATGTAACTGTTGACTGTTTTTATTTATTGTACACCTTTAAGTGCGTTCCTTCCAAACAAGACTTTGTCAAACATCTTTTCTAAGACATAATGGAAGTGCAACCTGTATCATTTTTTGACATTTCTGGGTCAATTTGGGATAATGCATGTGACTCTAGGTGTTAATACATCACCAGGATAACTTCTCAGTCACAGAGTGCAGTCACTGACCAGGAAGTGAGAAAAGCTTGGAGGAGTGAAACGCTTGAGGGACTTTTTGGGAGTCTAGGCAACGGCTTGTTCTGTTTATGGAGGCATCCGGGTCTCTGAATATATGATTAACTTGATGTCTCCCAGCTCTACTTCAACAGCAAAGGCAGGCTTAATAAACTGAAAAGCCACTTCCTGTTAGGTGTTTGTCTGATATGCTTATGGAAGGTGTTAGAAAAATAGGACAACTGTTAAAGCTGCAATCAAAATAAATGTAATACTAGTAAGGAGAGGCCACGAGGGATATCCCAATTCTCAAAAAGCTCAGTCATTGTTGTTGCGAATAACAATTTGTCTGTTTTGTAACATCACACAAAGGGCACTGTTCCCTATCTAGCAACACACATTCACACACATTTGGTAGTGACAGTCTTGAAGTGACTCCAGAACAGTGGGTTGTAAAAAAGGGGTGGGAGAAGAAGATGTGGGGATAGGATACAGTGATGTGTGTGTGTTCCCGTGTTTGATGAAGTAAGATAAATGTTTTTGTTTTTGTGCAAGAAAGAGCTGTGTATGTGTCGACAAGAAAATATATTCATTGGCTGATGTGTTGTGCTGTGGCGCCATTGGTCCTTAGTATTGGCACCTCAAAGTCTATTTCATTCCAGAGTCATGGGTGTCAGCTTGCCACAGAGTTTTCTATGCAAATAAACCTTTGCAAATACATGTTTGTTTGTTAGTATACTGCATTTGTGTCTGTGCCTTTTTGTTCCACCTCATGATTAAATTTATAACTTTCTGGGTTTGGTTCCTTTGCATACAGATGGCTCAGTGATATGCTGTGTATAGAATAAACACAGAGGCATGCTATCACAGTTGTCACCTCTCCCATTAACTCTAAACAAAAGCCCTTACCTAAGTTCCATGGAAGGTGATAAGTGTACAGCAAATGTCCTTGGAGTTGAAATGAAAGGCTCATGAGTGTTTGAGAAAGATAAGTTATAAAGCTAACAAAAGGCAAAAGGTGAGTGGTTGGGAAAGTGGCAGGTGTTTTCACTCTCCTGCTCCCTCCCATCTCAAAGAGGAAACAGACAAATCCCGCAGTTCATTTGTCACGGAGGGTGCAGTTGACATCGCTTACTAACTCCAACCAAACATTGAGCCCCCAAGTACATGTATGGAAATTGTTTAATTGGTCTAACAGGTACAAAACAGGGCAGCATGATTACACACATTGTAAATACAGAACAAATGAGGTTGCAATGCATAGCTGTTTGTCTTGATTATTTGGTAAAAACAGAATACGATACTCACTTTTGTACATTTATCAGAAACATTATTGTAACAAAGATCCCACTTATTTTGTTTAAAAATGTAAAGTTTACATCAGCAACTCATAACTACTCAACCAGACATGCAACAGGAGCCAACTTCATTTTACCTAAAGCAAGAACGAACTCAAACTAAACGAACAGTTATGTTTCGAGCAATGCAGGAATGGAACTCGCTGCCAAGTTACATAACCCAAGACAACAATAAAACTAAATTCAAATTTCTATTAAAGCAGTATCTTTTGACAGAGTAATATCATCTATTGCCGTACAACAAGTTACATATTTTATTAGATGTATTTTCCTCCTGTAGTTGTTTGATTGTTGCATTTGCATATTTATTTATGTGTGTGTATAATTAGGCAGATGCATTTTGAAGGTACATGTAGGCCTATACATATTTACATGTATTCTTTCAATTCATCAGTAGGATGAGTACAGAGGAACTGAACAGGTTCAAATGTCACTGCCATGAAATGAACAATTGATTATTATTTGTTAGAAGCTGTCCTCACCCTGTCATTGTGTTCAGTGTGTTCATGTTTTGTAATGTAATGTGCAAGGATGTAAGCTGCATATTGAATGTTGTGTATGATAATGAGTGTTATGTTGGTTTTTAAGTTGTAAGACGACACAGTCACACTGTAATGGTTGTTGCGGACCCCAGGAAGAATAGTGGCATCTAATGGGGTTTCTTATAAACAAAACAAAAACAAAAACAGTTAATGAATACTTAGTAGTTTTCATGAGTTGACATAGCAGTTAAACTAACATCTGAGTTCTGAACAGTAGTTCTAATGGCTGCCCAATGTTAACCGTGAATTTTCCTTTTTTCTTCTAAAGGTACAACAATCGCCAGGAAAAATGGGATGCTTTGGATTCCTCAAAACCATGATGGTTTTTTTTAACGGCATTATTTTTGTAAGTTTAAAGCTTAATTGGGAGACACTTTTCTTCAAAAGAAAACTAAGTCACTTTTCAATTTTATTCCAGATGTGCATCAACAGCCAGAAGTTTATAAACATGCAAGGAATGGGGCATTTCTCTGATATTGATTCTAAGTATCTGAAAATTCATAGTTTAAATATTTTATACCAATACCAATTTATTGATTTATTTTTTACTTATCAAAATTAGGGACAAATCGACATCAAAACTGTTGTCAGATATTAGTCCCATAAAGACTTAAATTGATTAACTGGGTGTAGGCAGGGTCAAGGGCCCATCCTAGTCAAATGTATTCAGTTAAATGACATTCTTACATTCTTGGACTTTCATGGGCCAGAAGCCCATCAGATGACCAGTTTTGCTCTAACGAAGGACGGAGGGGGCTGAAGTGTAAGATTATGAAAGGTATTTCATGATTGCTATTCCACAAATGTCAGCCTCATTCAATTTGTCAATTCTTTTTTTTTCAAAATTAGGACAACAATGTTAAGGTCAAAAGTTATTTTTACTTACTCACTTAAGAATAATCCCACTCTCTTCCCCATAGTAAGTAAAATGGCTTATTTATACAACATTGCTATCCCTAGTGGAAGTGAATCATTGTAAATATTAATTAAAGGGTCCATCTAAGTGATGTGCATCAGTGGAGTTTTTGTCTTGTTTGACTAAAGTATTGTCAAAAATAGAAGCCGAGAGGCCTTAATATGGGATCGCAAGACTTCAATCCCAGTTATGAATTTTGTCTCTTTTAAGACCATCCCTGCCAAATGTCCATTCATGTTTTTGCAGGCTGATTAGACCTCACTATTGCCCGTGTTAAAATGACTGATCATACTCTGAAAATAAATGTAGATTTCATTGAATCCCCTAAAATGTTCCATTTGCTGTTTTTTCTTTACCTGCTCACTCTTCCTCAGTTGGCAGGTGCTGCCGTCCTGGGTGTTGGGATCTGGGTAAAAGTGGACAGCGGCTCCATCCTGAGCTTCCTCGGCAAGATTGAAGATGCACCAGAAGAGCTCAGTCAGGTGCTAAATGTTGGCTACCTGCTGATTGCAATAGGAGCGCTGCTGCTCGTCATTGGCTTTCTAGGTTGCTGTGGAGCAGTCAAAGAGAGCAAGTGTATGCTACTGCTGGTAGGTTGTTGTCTTCTACTTTAAAGAGGGATAAAGTTTTTTTTTAGGATTTATACAGTAAGATAAATTAAACACATTTTCCTTAGCTGAAATGGTGTTAGAAATCACCTTCCAATTAAATTATTGTGAAATTCTCATCTTTTTTCTCAGTTTTTTCTCATCGTCCTGGTGGTCTTCATAGCAGAAATTGCTGGAGCAGTGGTGATCTTGGTATTCAGACCTTTGGTAAGTTACCTGAGTAATACAGTGTGTTGATTGCTGCATTAAATTGACAAGTGCTGCCTTAAGGCTCTTTGATACTTGAGCTACTGTATGCTTGCATTTCAGGCAGATGAGTTGTTTACCAAGTTTGGCACAGCAGCAGTCAAGAACATCAAGAAGGACTATGGAGAAAATGCTGACAT